AGGCGAACAGACAAAAATAGAAGATAGAGAAACAATAAAGCAAAACAATTTGAGGTCAATGTCATATAAGAATTAAAAAATATCACAAAACGAAGAAGCAAAAATAAAATTGCAAGAAAAAAACAACGTGTAGATGCAGAAGTGAAAAAATGAAAGCAGCAACAGAACAAATCTGCAGGAAAGAGTACTCACATAAGCCATGTCACTGCAAGAGGAATCAAAGCGATATTACGACGAGTTGAAGTTGCTGCAAGAAAGACCGGCCTATCACTGAGCCAACATGATATGAAACTTGATTCCAAGAGGCAGCAAACAACTAGAATGAATACCTACATATCGATAATGAAACGAAAATTTTTTCGAACAGCGTAAACAACAGTTCATATGTGCTTCGTGGATCTAAAGAGAGTCCATAACCAGATGCCGCCCAACAATCTACGAGCGTGCTTGCGAAAATGGGATCGATGGTCAGTTGCTAAGGGTCATCCAATCACTATATACTGACAGAACACAGAGTCAGAGTAAACAGCGTTTAGTCGAAACCTCTCGGCGTTGGCAATGGTCTCCGCCAAGGCTGCGTTCCGTCCCCTCTCCTGTTTGAGCTGTATAAGTATAGAATAGTTATGCGTAGCGCGACGATGAGCGTATCTGCGTCGGATATGTCGAAGTTGCTGTTTGTAGACGATATTGCGGTTTCTCGTACTCTCTGCTTGGCCGTTGTTCCCTTAAGATAAACGGAGAAGCAGTCAAACAGGTGGAGAAGTTAAATACCCGGAAGTCGTGTTTAATGGTGATGGAAAATGGAAGGAAGAAATCGACCAGCGGACTGGAGTAGCCAGTGGCGTTCTGCGTGAACTAGCTCGAACCGCTGTAACTAAAGGACTAAACTCTCGGTGTTCAAATCAATCTTTACTCCCATGCATACCTACAGTCATGAGTCGTAGACAATAACTGAAAAAGTTCGATCACGGGTTTAAGCGACTGAAATGGGTTTTATGATACAAACTGCGGGGCTCACGTCTCTATGTGGTCCGGAGTTCAAAAATCCGAGAGACCTTGGTATACATCCGCTGCTTTTTCAGATTGAGAACGTCACATTTGCAATGGGTTGGGCACGTCTTGGGAATGCCTTGAAAGGAAAAAGAAACAGCGGCTAATTGCTGAACCAAGCGAAAACAGCAGGAAAAGCCAGCAATGGTTCAAATCAAATGTCTCGAGGGACTCTAATCCAGCATTAAATTATCTGTTACTGAAGTTCAAACGCTGGCACGGCACAGGAAACGCTGGAGCCAATGTCTGAAAGGTCTGCCCCTGTGACCCAAAAGGATAATCGGAAATCGAAATTGACTCACTGACAGCAAAAACAAGAGTTACAGGACAGGTTACCGTTTTCAGTGAAGCGTAAGCGGAACCTTTACTGAGCACTGGATTGAAAAAGGCCGCGGACGATGAAAATTACCACGATTATTGCACTGTTGAAATGCGAATGATTTTACGATGATGGTGATGATGTGATATCAACCACAGTGATGACAATTACAAAGACGAGAGTGATGATGTGGTGATGCACGAGCACGTTAACAGTGGTAATGATTGTGTTTTCGATATTTGCGTGATAACTCCGCCGTTGCCGGTTTGAGACCGTGGCAAGTCTCCGTAAAATTTAGCCACCTGCCACTCATGGTATTGACGCCAACGAAAAATATACCGGCTCGGTTATCGCCCGGGTTACCAAAGGCCGCGCAGGCTGTTGGGGGACTGAGGCAGACTGCGAAAAGGCGACGATCAGAACCTGCTCAATGCCCTCTGCCAGCCGGGGGCGTGGCAACACAACGACGGCTGACGAAGATCGACGCAACGACGACGAAGACACCAGTCAGCAACGGAGTCGCTGTCCGTTCTGAACGGAGGAGGCAGACAGCGCGATGCCATTACAGCACGTCAGAAAAGGGCTCACGAGAACAACACCACCAGTGGGAGCTAAAAGTCGGAAACTGAAACATATCCTCACCAAGAGGAAAGGAACAAGAATTAATTGATGAGGCCATAAAATAACAACTCGATATTGTTGGACTCTTGTCAACGAAACGCCAAGGCTCTGGACTCCTGAACCTCAATGGATGGAAGCTGTTCTACTCAGGCGTCGATATCACGACTCGCGCTCAGACCGCTGTTGGCGG